TCACTGAAAGTATCCAGCTGGGAAAACAAGACAAAAAAGGCTTTTCTGGCTCATGGAGTTCAAGCTTGGTTTATGCAGAGCCTTTTCTTGTGTGTTATTATATGGTATCTTTAAAGTAGTTCGGTTTCTTTTCCCACCTCTGCCTTCTGAATGTTTGTACCCTGCTATTTAGTGTGCTGTGGAATTTCAGGTGTGGATTAAGTTCTTATTGCCTGTATCGTTACCGTAATAAAATAATATGAGCTGTCCATGTCCCACTAACAATGCATGTGTCTGCTCAAATTTAAATTTAGTTTACCTTTTTACTGTTACTAGTTCACATTTTTACTAAGTATGTTTCAGAGATAGAAATAAGTAAAATGCCAACAAAACTAATAGGAAAAATAAATAATTTGAAATTCTAGATCTCATAGCTTTTCAGACTTTCTTAATGTTTACGTGCTTGAAAGCCTTATTTACTGTCTGGGGTTCAAATGATCTGCAGCAAGAGAGTCTCAGATGAGTATTAGTTCATAAGGCTTACCATGAGAAGGAACTGCTCTGGAGTTGTAAAACCTCATTTGACTTCCTCTATTGACTTTGACTTTATAAATTTGGGCCTTATAGGTTTCATGCTGGGATAAGAAATAGGAGAAAATGAGTGTTTAGGGAGGGGATGGCATCTCCACAGGAAAAGTTTCTAGGTCCATGTAAGGCTTCTAGAGATCCTTCCCATCTGATCCTTCCCTCTCATCTTCCCAGAAGTGCTTCTTAGAAAAATGTGTTTAAATATTTAACTGGTTTTGAGGTAATCTCCGTCTTCAGGAGTTTACCCTCTCTAGTTGGAAATTCAAGAGTGAAAAGTTAAAAAGGACCTTTATTTTACACAGTTTTAAAGTTTCAGTAATGTAGTTTATGTTAACTGTAATAAATGGAGTAAACTATTCCTAGCGCTTTTCAGTTTTCTCAGTAATCTATTTTTCATTGTGGTTCTCAAGCACTAAGGTCAATGTTTATGCTGCCATAGCTGTAATGGTACACTGGCGTGCAATAAACTGCAGATTATGGCTGATGCCATTAGTAAATGAGGTTTCATGAACTTTGCTGTGGCTTCTCACCACCTCTACAGCTGTCTGTTCTGCCTCTGCCAGGTGTTTCTGCCCACACAGTGGAGTTGGCAGGGGAGCCGTGTGCCCGCGCCTCACTTCGCAGAATGCGGTCTGACATGTTAGCTTACATTGCAGATGAGCGGGGCTTTTAAACTGAAGATTAAATTGCAGTTTGCAGTGCAGCAGCTCAGTTGTGCTACATGTTCCTTTCTGAAGCTGCTGTGAGAATGCTGCTTCTTAAAAGAGGGGCAAAGCAGACAGCTTCAGGCATGAACGTTTCAAACATTGCCATGAAATGCAGAAGTCTTGCAAAATTCTAGGGTTTTTTTGCAAGTATCGCTGATTGTGCTGGAGGTGAGCGTATGTGGGAGCTACGTGCAGTTTGTTTGCGCAAGTTTGCGATCTGGATAACTTTCAAAGTGGACATCTTGAAATTCTTGCACTTGCAACTGCTATAATAAAACCAAAATTCCTTCTTTCAGGTCTGCCTTCCCTCACCTTAAGCTCCAGTTTGGCGGATATTAGGCAAAAAAAAGTGCAGCTGGGGACTACAGTGGCTTGTTGTTGTTAGGCTACCACTTACATTTTTGCTACTAAAAATGAGGCTTTTTAATTTTCCTTCTTTTTGACAAAAATTTCCAGTAGTCATTGTTGTGTGCCTCTTAGTAGTTTCTTTCAGATCAGGTGAGGAAACATTTTTGTTGCTTGGAATTTTAAAATTTTGATAGCAAAGAGATTTCATTAAATCTGAGGATAAATTACATTGCAACTACTTTTCAGCACGGGATCATTTGATGAATGCCCCGAATTCAGAAAACTGAAATTTGGATGTAAGTCAGCCTTGCAGTTCAGATCAAGTTAATTCTGTGTTTTTGTTTGCACTAGATGGATGCCTGTTTCCGAGGCCCAAGCATTTTTGGTTTCACCTTCACTTTGTTTTGTTAGGTTTGTATTGAAAGTTATTTGCATGGTCTGCAGCTGGCAGGTACCTTTAACCAGCCAATTCGTTCCAACCTTGTACGGTACTTCATTTCCACATCCTGCTCATAAACTCCCCCTAAAGCCAGGTAGCCTCACCCTGATGAGTTCTGAAGTGAAGCTGGCCTTTGGCAGGGAATTTAAAATGACTAGACGGGCTTTTTATCCAAGAGTGTTACAAGAGATGTAGCAAAGGTTTTCCTCATCTAAATGTAAGATATACGAGAGATTGTGTGAAAGGGAAATGTAGTTGAATCCAGTCAGTACACTGGAAACTTGGCTCTGATGGTGGACATAGTCTATGGGGATAGTCTTCTGCTAGTTTGTCTATAATGTATCTGTTGTACAAAAACAATGAAACAAAAGCCACCCAAAAAAAACAGAAGAGGAATACTTTTGTAACAGAAAAAGGCAGGGGTAGCAAGTGTGATCTGGCTTAGAGCCGTAGGGGGGTTTAGTTTGCTAAAGCTACTACCTGCGTTTTGGATAAATCAGGTTTTCTCTCTGTCTGTTTTATTGTACAGAGTGCCAGATGTCACTGAGGCCAATCGCTGAAGAACGTACTGTTCATTTGCATTGAAAAATGTCAAGTTTGTATGTCTACCTTAAGTATTTAAATATAAAGTAGTCGTATGTAACTTTGAGGCATACAGGAAAGGTGTACTGGTGTTGTTTTGAAGCCTTTTTCTTCTGTAGAATTCAAAATGGACTTGAAATTTGTAACACCTCCTTCATTTTATCCATTGGAAGCGGGTAGTCAGGGCATCATTCCCTTTCTACTTTGAATTTTTATGAACTTAAATGCATTTTGAGTTCAGGGGCTATGCAAAGCACAAGGTTGGTTGGTCAGTTTACTGTGCAGCAGTTTGCAACACAGAGAGAGGCTTTCTGGACAGCTTGAGTCGGTGGTTATGTACGTAATGCTTCCAAATGGGCAGGAGTGGATTATTTTATTTGTATGTAGGTAGTATTTAAAATTGTTAAAATATTGATATTTCGTTATTTAACATTGCACTTTCATAGGCTGCTACTTAATGCCACAGTAGTGTTTTTCAGCACTTTATGCAGTGATTTCAGTTGAGTCTGCTAATAGTAGAGGAATAATTTGAGATGTGCATGAGCAGGCTATTTTTGAATGCCTTACGTGCATAGTGAGGCATGAGGCGAGTGATCATCTGTTTTTCAGCCTATACATGCACTGTTAATATATCAGTTGGTATTAATGACTGATACTATCAATCTCACCCTTTAAAAACAGTATCTTACAATGCAAATATTAATCATGTCTCTTTGAACTAGGAAAAAATGGTTTCTATATAATATACTGCCCTAGTGAATGTACAGTCTTGGATATAGAGTTGCTGGGACTGTGAGCTGCTTATTGGGACCAAGAACTCTCTGCGAGCTTTACTTTTCGGTGTTCATCTTAAAGCAACTCAGAGGTCTCTCTTGGAGAGGACTGGATTATCAACTGTACCCTAATAACCAGTATAAATGTTATGTACCCCGTTCTTTCATCATAGTGTCTTTCTGGCACAATTTATTTAGGTTCATGTGCTAATTTTTAGTTTTCCTAAACAGTTTCTAGCATATAAGGTTTCAGTGTGGTATCAGAGTGGTTTTGAAATCATTGTTCAAATGCCTCCTGGTTTATTTTGGTTTTCCCTGCTATGTTTCTGTTCCATTTATAACATGCTGTATAATGCAATAATAATAAAAATACTGGAAATGAGTTTTGTTCTCTCTTATATGAGAGAGCAAACTTACCTTTCTTCCATGAAGATATTTTAAAACATTTATGTAGCGTGCTCAGTTGTACATATTAAGAAAGGAAATGCTATTGGAAGATAAATTCTTAGTTTCTTAGAGTCAAGCTACAGTATCTTTTTACAGTCTAGAAGAATGAAGCTAACAATGTATAGTTTGTTGGTCTGTTTTTATTTTTTTTTCCTAGAAATGGTCATAATGCCTAAGTGTATGTTTATGTTTAACAAAGTAGAGAAAATGGAGGGTGATGATAAAGCACGGAAAATGTTTACTCTTAGACTTGTAATCTAGAGGAAGAATTTGTTAGTCCCTGCTAGAGATACAGTGCAGTTAGTATTTTAGCCCTAACCATGTAAAGTTGTTTATCATTGTTTGTGTTACACATTTTGTTCCTTTAAACCAAATGCAGCATCTCGCAATGCTGTGACGGTTTTGTGAATGTGTTCTTGACTGCAACTCAAGCTTGCATTCAAGTGGGGTTTTTTTCCCAGCCATTTCCTACCTCGCTGGGTTTGCATTTTGTTACTAAAAGTAATTTTTTTAAAAAGTGTGAATTTTATTTTTTTTTCAATTCTTTTTCTCATCGTTTGAGCAATGTGTTTGTATGGAGAAGGAGGTACTGGGACAGTTTATTCCTTTATCTTTGGTCTTCAGCACATTGAAATATTTTAGTACAGTAAGCTTCAAATGAGAGACCTGGGACTATGATCTTTCCTTTTTTCAGAGATATAATGGATGGAGAGTAGAATATTCACGCAGAGCATTTTTTGACAAGTTAAGCAGAAGATTTAGGGTACCTCTTTCTTGCCTTGTTTGTTGGTCCCTTGGTCTCCTTACTCGGTTCACTTTGTGCGATACATTTTATTGGAAGTGATTTAAAAGTAACGTAATAAAACATTTTCAATAGCTGTGTTTTGGAACATATGTGCATTTTAGTTTGATGTATACTTCTGTGTTTCTTTTTAAGAAGTTGATTTGAACAAGATATTTCATGTTCCTGAAAAAAAGTGAAGCTGTTTCTTTGAAAGCTTGTTGTTGCCTGATTTAGAGAAATTACAAAGCAATGCAACTGCTCTAATGAGAGGAATACAGATAAAAGTTGAACTTTATTGTTGTGTATTAATGTGATTTTCTTTTTTCTGTTTTTGTTTTTGTTTTTTTTTTCAGGAGAGAAATAGAAACAAACAATAACTATATGGAGATGTCCTGCTAGAATTACAACACTAATGATGTAGACTCTGGAAATGCCTAATATGTCTAAGAAGACGTTATTAAAGCTTTTTTCTGCTTAAGGTGACATCTTTGAACACTTTAACACAAAATTGACTCTTCTTGTAATGGTTCTCATCAGTGCATCTGCCCTTATACTCTCTCACCAAACACACTTGAGAACTGTACCTTCGTCAAGCACTTTCTGTCCTGAAGCTTTTACCAGTATCTGCTGTCTTTTGTATTTATGCATCCTAGCTAAGGCACAGGAGACCGAACGAATGCAAGGATTCATTAACTCTTTGAATTTGTTAAATACTAACATTTAACCATTAGAAGTGGTTCAATGATGTGAGATTCACATTGCTTCAACTTAATTTTTTCTTTGTTGTAGTTTTTTTAATTGTCAGTTTTTAGCTATTCAACAGATTAAAAGCAAATCATGCCATATTTAGTCCTGGAGTAAAACTCAAGTCTAAATGTTCATGTGAAAATTATTGTAGTAATCTTTTAATATGGCAAAGCAACTTTAAGCTGCAGTTTAGCCAAATGAAACGTAACATAAAATTATATTAGAATGACATTTCCCTTGTTTCAAACTGTTTGGTGTAAGAGAATATTAATATGCAGCTTGGTGGATACCACCAGTTAATGCACATTTCTTTATTTTTTTTCCTGTAACATGTATACTGAAAAAAGTGCATTTGTCTGAGGAACTGTTTGTTTGCTACCACTCAATGAATCTCAGTTTTGAGTAAATGTACCTCAGTCTAAATCAGACTTTTTATGACCTTTATAACTACATTTAAAATAATCTTTAATTCCTATTTCTGGGTGTTTGCAAGCCTGACAGATTGCTATCATGAAAGTGAAAATTTACTCCTCTAGGTGATTCACTAGCTAAATAAACATAATTCTTGTTTAGCAAGCATATACTGTTTCTCAAATTTTTCTGTTTTATTGTCCCAACATCCAGGTGTTTTTTCCTCCATTTGAAAATATTTTGAGAAAAATACTTTGATCCAGGGAGATTACTCATTCATATTCATGTTAACATGTTTTTTGTTAGAACCATGCAACAAGAATTTTAGAATACACATTGAACTGGGTAATTCTATACTAGTTTTTAACTTCTAAAAATTATATTTTTTGTTTCACTTTGTATAGCAATACATTCTATCTGCTGGAAGAGAATATTTAAAAAATGTCAAGCGGGTGTATTGACTGTACAAAATCCTGAACAGCCTGTACCAAACTCCCGGGATAGCTTTCTCTTTTTGGAACGGCAGTGTAGAAGTCAGATATGTTATAGCTTAAAATAGCATTACCACGTATTATTTGAACATGTTTCATGTCGTACTGTCCAACACAGATGTTTGTATTGTGTTTTGAGTCCTACATTTACAGATTTTGGCAAAGTTCCAGAGCTGAAGTGGCAAAGGTTTGTTTGGGATACAGGCTATTCTCCTGTATTTTACTTTCTCTCTTCTTAAGTCCCTTGCACTCTTCTAACCTTGCAAACACAAAAAGTTCAGTACACACTTTTTTTTGTTTTTCCTCATTATTTAAAATCTTGTTTGAGAATGAGGAGTGAGACTGCAGAGTAGCAGATATGAATCTTAATATTTACTGCTAGCTTTCTGGAAGTGGGATAAGGGAGGGATAAGCAAAGTGCATATTTTGAGACTAGGAGATAAAGGTTTCAAACACAAACCCTGTGAAATTTGGCTGGAGCCCAAAAATTGCTGCTTCCATGCATTTCTGTTTCTTGCTAACAGGTTTTATAGCTATTTCTTTCCCTCTGTTGGCTGATTTATGGATTACTCCCTATTATTCCAACTGTCATTGATGAGTTGAAGTGGCAAAGGTCAATGTTGTGAGTCCAAAGAATGTAGTCCTTCTGATGATCTTTCAAGGGATCAGCATGTTCCTGCTTCTTTGTTATAAAAATATCTTATGAAAATGCACAGAAGATTCCAGTTAAAAGAAAGCTACTGTTAGTCAGGCATTCAGGAATTGATTGCATGTGCAACCTTAGTTTGCTTCCACTGCAGTATTCATATTTTTGCAGGCTCTGTTAGTATTTCCTGCTTTACCCTTTGCCTGTTTTATTCTAATAGCATGAACATTGCTCTTGGATTGAATCAGGTTTAGTATAAAATGGGTTCATCACTCTGTTGCAGACTTTGAAGGCTTGGAAAATGAGACAGGACTGTGAGAGAAGGAGGTGATTGCATTTAGAGAGCTGTGACAGTTCTTACACTGTTCCAGGATTGTTAGCAAATCTACAAATAGAAGAGTTTCATTGCTGATGGTGTTAGTCATGTTGCGACCGATTTGCCGACTGCTGAGAGTTTAGTATGTGCAGCTGAGATTAAAAGGAGTTTTATGTGCATATAAAGTACTGTAAAAATAGTATATAACATTGTAAAATCAGCTATGGAGTGCTGTACTAGTTAATGGACATGTGAAACTTCTAGCCTTCAGCTTCCTTATGCACGAGTTCTTTTCCTCCAGAAAGAAAAGGAATGGTGCTTAATATCTCAAATAAATGTAGAAATACATTTTTTGGTCTGATTTTTCAATACAGTGAAGTTGTAATGGCTGCTTGCTAACTTGCTCATGGAGAAGTCAATGGAACCCCTTTTCTGCTCCTGCTTTCTGTCACCATTTGTTTTCCTGCAATCCATACTGAGCCAGTTCAAGACGTTTTCTGCTGGTTTAATGATCTGAGCAGTTCTTTGTGAGGTTAGATGTTTAGAAGGGAGATGGTGGGAGGGGAAGGAAGGAGATTAGTCCTTTCAGAAGCAGGTACCCACTCTTGAATAGACTTAGCTGCACTGTAACTACACACTATGGATTGGTGAACCGGAGATGCAATAGAATGTTTAAATTGGGAAAGGCTTCCCAAGGGAGGGGGTGGAGGGGGGGAATAAAAATCATTTCTCTGTTCAGTGTAAGATTTTGGTAGTGTACAGTGAGATATGATGTTATCAGATATATTTAGTGATACCAGGAGGAAGGAAGAAATGCTAAGTATTTTCGATTTTTGACTACTTTTTCCACTTTGAAGAGACCTGAGAATTCATATAGAAAAGTTATTGCTCAAAGGCTTGTCCTACCACCACAAGTGGAACAAATTAAAGTTGTATGAGCTTTGCTAACCTTTGAGTGTCTCTTGATTTTGTAACATCAGCATCTTTAACAAAGGTTTTTTGGTATTTGACTTCGACAAGAAATAATTCCTGTCAGTTGAATGCTCAAGTTGCTGGCTTAAGGAAAACGTGAGCACTACTTTATTTTGAGGGACTCAGATTGGGAAAGACTCAATATTCACAACTAGACAAATTTCACTGCTTCGTGTCTTTTGCTATTTTAGGCTTAATTTGTCAAATACTTGCTTCTCTATAGCCTTTTGGTCTGTTTTCTTCTTTTTTGTATGCCCTGGCAGTTCCATAATCCACTGTCTCCAAAATTTAGATGCAAAAGCCCCTTGCCAAAATGATTCCTGTCCCAGACAAGTCTGTGGTACCAAACAAAAAGGTAATGTTGAGCTCTTGGTCAAGTGCAAGTAACTTAATATTTAAGAGGAAGCATCTTCAATATTTGTCACTGTTGAGTCAAATTCCTGTTTTGAAGTTATTTCTATATCATAGGAGAATTTACACACTGGAGATATATTCCTTAAAAAAAAAAAAAAAGTTTTTAACTATTTTGATGTACAAGTATCAATACCTCATTCCTAGCTGAAACTGAGTCGAAGCAACAGTGTTTTGAATTCTGCAAGTAGCAGTTAGCTAAATTTTTCAAAATTATTGGTGACTGTTTCACCAGAAAGCTATTTAAATACTTCAGCTGATTTTCACAGTGAAAATCCAGTGTAGACAGTCTTTGAAATTTCCACAGCACTGATTATTAGATGAATAATTGTAGACATTCAAATACCAATTATCCTTTCGGAATGGATTTTATGTTATTTTCAAAGCCATTTTAACAAATTTTTCCAACCACTTTGTTAAGGAAGTACACACCATTTTTTCAGTGTTTTGTTTATTCTTTTGCCAGGTGAAGATCCATATAATTTACTGATAAATTCAGAGAGATTGAGAGCAGTTCTTTTCCATTCAGTTGAAACAAAACCTGATTTAAATTTTGTTTGGTTTTATGTGCGTTATAGTATGGTAACATAGATAAGAATCCTTTGGCATGAGAACTGACTATTTGATCTTATTCAATCTGTTGATTCTGTTTCAGTGCCAGTAACCTGTTTACACCCTTATTTATTTTGTTTTGAGCCTAATGTGCCCACCATAATTTAGCATGGGAGAGGAACGACATTGTCTATGGATCATAGGAATTTGGAATAAGTTTGGCCTCATATAAAGTTACAACATTAGTGTACAGCTGACATGTTTTCCTCAGAACATCTGTTCTATACTGTCCTACTTCAAATATTTTAATAAACTGCATTTTAATATGATTAATTTCAGTTCACAAAGTTAAATTTGTATCCAGTCTAGACTTTATAAACAGTGTGCCTCTTCACATAATAATCCTGCAGCATTCTTCTTAATGATACTTTCAGTATCCAAGGATCTCTAAACTAAATATTAATAATAAAACTTGGTGTTTATTAATATAAGGGAATGCATAATGTTTGTATTAACTATTCTTTTCTGACCTTATCTTTCCCCACAAGTAGAAATCTGAAAAACAGAAGTCAAACACCAGTTGGATGTCTCCTCCAGTC